AAAAAAAAACTCTCTCCTGCATAAATCGATTTTCATAAGAATCCGCAGCAAAATAAAATTTACTAGAAATATGGGTATAACACCGTCAAGAGAAGACTTCGTAGCCCTAGAAGGATACGCAAAAAAAAGCGAAGAAGAGCGCAGAGCAATAATACAAAACGCGGGAATGGAAATAACCGATAACGACAAAGAGATAGCACAATTTTTGGGTTCAGAAGACGAAATACTAGGTTGTTTTATTAGGGGAATAATCACGATATGCTTAAGACACTTTAACAACCAAAGAACAAAAGAATTTAACGAATACATAGAAGATTACAAGACAGCAACAAACGATATGATACAACAAAAAACTGTAGAAATGAACTAATGGGCCCGACTAAAAGAAGAACAATGGAACATCAAAGAAGAATATTATTTCAAAAATACATCGATAAAAGCGCACCAAATACAAACCGAACTAGGAGCGGTAGATAACGAAGACAGGATAAGGATAGAAAAACAGGAAAAAGAGAAAATTATGAATGAATGTAGAAAGATAACTATGAACAACCTCGACGAGGACAGCGACAAAGACGAAGAGATAATTCAACATACGTGGGAAATAGAAAGCAACACACCCAGTGAAGAATCATGGGACGAAGGGAAAATGAACCAAAAATACCACGTTTACAACAATGCATCACACCAGACAAATGAAAACACCAATAATACTTCGAGAATGCAGGTCGAGAATAAAAATAGAAATTTTACAAAATCAAGAGACCAATCATTAACAATGGCGATCACTGCCGATCACAACATGGGAGAAAAATCTAATAAAAGTAAAGAGTCCGTGCATCAACCAAAATCGGAAAAAGATCTGAAATATTTCGCAGGACTTTTTACAGTCCAAATAAGGGATGGATAAACTGACCAATCGATAATAGATTATCTCAACACCAATAAAATTTTAGAATATCACGTGAACACACTAGGTAGAACTACTCATCACGGCAACGAATACACGTACTTAGGCTTTTTCACAGAAGCAGCGAAAAACGATTTTATAAACGACGGAAGAATATTGGGAACGATAGGAAAATTCAGAGATCTAGAATGGTTAAATAAATTGAACAAAACAATCATCATATCAGCAACCGGAATAGACGGAGAAAACACAGATATCAACGAAGTTATCCAAGCAATAGAAGACAAATTAGGTAAACTCAAAAACTTAACACAAAAAACAGGAAATGGAAAATGGATAAGTATGAAACTAGAAATGGACATTAAATGTACAGAGGACGAACTATTTAACACCTGGGGAGTCCTAGTCAAAAACAAAATGATAAAAATCGAACCAATGAATTACAAACATCATATAACCAAACAACGAGGAAGAATTATGGCGGAAATACTCGATATACCTAACGAAATCGATGAAACAACATTCTCAAAAATACTTAAAACTACCAACGCAAGATATTGGTTCAAAACCAACAACAGGATGAAAGGAACATATAACATGAAGATATACTTCAACAACGATGAAGACAGAAAACAAGCAATTAACAAAAAAATCAAAATCGACGGAAAGATTTTTACTTGGTTTTTTCGGACTGGACCGGGAAGACAGAATAATTTTCGTAATGAAAGAAGAAATGATAATGGATTTGGCAAACGATTTCAACAAGAAATGTACGATGGAAGAAAGACTGGAAGATCCAGATGTAATATATGCAAAAGGAATAACCACATCACAGACGAATGTTATTTCAACAATAGAAACAGAACACATGAAAACAGAAGAAACTGGAACGACAACTGGAATGAAACATATAGATATAGAAAAGGTAGATACGACAATGAAGGAAAGTTCAGATATGACACGCAACAACAACAATTCAGTGATCACGACGATAACAGATACAACGCCTACACCAACAGAGGAAAACAAATACACTCAAGAAGAAGATTTAACTACAACATTAACAGAGAAAATGGCAGAGATGAGACTAGAGGAAACCGACAAAGTTTTTACCACCAACAACAAAGATATAATGGATACAATAACCATAACAACAACGGTCACAACACAGAGAGATACAACGAGAATGGAAAGAACAACTACAACGGATACAACAGAGATTGGAATGAAGGAAACAGTTCCAATGATAGGCGTCGAATGGCTAGACGCTATTGACCGGCAACTATACCAAAACACAACAACAGAAGAAGAAAATGAAGAAAAAAGAGGCGTAGGTGAAGAAAATTTTAAAAGAGAACGAAGAGGAAAACATCACAACAAATAAAACAAAAAAAGGAAAAACTTACATAAAACAAAAACAACAAGAAAATAATAAGAAAAAAGAAAAACATAACAAACTAAAAATAGGTTGTATAAACGTAAGGGGGATGAACGATACAAAAAAACAAGGCGATATAAGAAAATTTTTATCAAAAGAAAACTGGGATATAGCAATAATTAATGAAACTAAACTAAAAGAAGCAAAAGGTAAATATATATACAATGGCTGGGATAAATATAAATGCATTAACAGTAGCTACAACAACGAAAACAACAAGAATGGAATAATAATAATGATAAGAAGAGATATCTACGATAGAGGATATAAGATAGAAACAATCAACGGTCACGTGATTAAATTCGACTTATTATTCAAAGGAAATCAGAAAAACATAAGAATCATAGGAATATATAATCCAAATAACGACAAACCAACTACGAATAATATAGAAAAACATTTGGCAAAATGGATGAACGAAGCAATAAACCTAGAATATGAAACGATAATTTTGGGAGATTTCAATGAATCAGCCAATAACAAGAAAAAATTAAAACCGTTAACAAACACAATATAACAAGAAAAAATTAAAACCGTTAACAAACACAATCAAGAATCATGGCTTACAAGACATTCACGAAAGTTTAACAGTAGCGGAAGATAGACTAGACACTTGGAAGAGTGGAGACAATTCATCCAGGATAGATTTTATTTTCGCAAGCGAAGGCTTTCAAGAAAGTATTATAAGTCATGAGATACTAGAAATAGAAGACTTCGACACAGATCACAAAGCACTAACAGTTAAAATAGAAATTAAAGAAAAATTAGGAATAAACAAACCCGGATTTATGAAAGAAATAAAAAAGGAAATAAGACACATAAAATTAGAACAAGAAGATTGGAAAGAAATAGCAGAAGAAGTAGAAACAAGATTAGAAACGTTAGACCAGAATACAACACAACATTTAAATCGAGAAATGATATGGAAAATGATAGTAGATATATACGACGAAGAAAATAATAGACAACTAATTAAAATCAGAAAAAGAAAAGAAGATTCAAAAAAAGATAGAGACGAAAGTTTAATGAAAACAAACGAAGAAAGATTAGAGGAATTAATCACAGAATACGAAAACTTAGAAAAAATTGATACTATAGAACATGTAATCAGTAAGATAACAGATAAAGTTATAAAGAAATTATGGCAAGATAGAAAAGCCTTTCAATACAAATATAATTTCAAAGAATTTGAAGAAACAATAATAATAGAGCAATGGGGAACAACGGACACAGGTAAACACAACGCGGTAAAACTAGGAAAATTAATCAACATACATGATAGACTCGAAAAAAACATTGAATACGGAATCACGATAGATAAACTAAGAAAATATAGAAACCGCAAAGATTTAAAAGAAAGAAGAACAAAAAGAGCAGAAATTATGAGAAGCCTATATGTGGAAATTAATAGCCTGAATATAGAAATAAACATAAGAAAACGCGAAACGTACCTAGAAGAAGACATAGGAAAAATGTTAAATAGAATTTTAGAAAAAAAGAGAGAGAAAATTAATATGACAGGATTAGTAATAAAAGAGAATGGAAGAATCACGATAGAAAAAGACAAAAAAAAGATAAATGATAAAGTATTAAAACATAACAAAGATTGGACAAAGAAAAGAGAAATAGACCTAGATGAACTAGAATATGATCCGGAGTGGAGAGAGATCTATACACCTAATGAAGATATAAACGAAAATATTTACAAAAATCTAATGACACCGATAAGGATGGAAGAACTAGAAAGGGTATTACAAAACCTAAAAACAAATAAAGCACCAGGATCAAGTGGTATAACTTACGACTTTTGGAAGAAAAGCGGAAACCTAACGAGGAATTTATTATTAAACATCTTTAACGACAGCATGGCCAAAGAGAACGTAACGGATGAATGGAAAAAAGGATTTATATATCCGATAAATAAAACTTCACGTTCAAATTGGAATCAAGATTTAAATTTGACGAGACCGATAGTGCTCTTAGAAACGGCAAGAAAAATTTGGTTTAAAATATTGGTAAATAGATTAGGCGAAATTTTAACAAAAGAACAGATTTTGACAAATACGAATTTTGCAGCACTAAAAAACGAAAGCACCCTAGAGCCAATAAAAATCATCCAAGCAATAATAGAAGACGCTAATAATTACAAAAAAGAAGCATGGATACTATTGATGGATATATCCAAAGCTTACGATTCAGTAAATACAACAATGCTAAAAAGAAGCCTGGAAAGAATTAAACTGCCACCAAATTTTATTAACATAGTTATGGACGTCAATTTAAATAGATTTAATAGGGTGCTAGTAAACAACGAACTTACAGATGAATACCATGTAGAAGACGGTATCGACCAAGGTGAAGTATGGTCACCGATACTGTGGAGAATTTTTTATGACCCGCTTTTAAGTAGATTAAATGAAATGAAAGAGGAGACAGGTTACAACTTTTATGAGGAAAAATTAATCGATAATAATAAAAAAGATAAAGAAATACTTGAAATATCGATTAACGTTACGGCATTTATGGACGATACAACGCTTATCAGTAAAAATAAAAAACAATTAGAAAAAATGATTGAGATATGTCATCAATTTTTTAATATAAATGACATAAAAGCAAATGTATCGAAATATGAACTTATAAAAATAAATAATGATAAAGAAGAACTTTTAATTAAAGGAGAATCAATCACAAAAACAAATAGTGAAGAAGGTAATCGTTACTTAGGAATATTTTTTAGATACGACAACAAAAGAGAAATATATAAAAAGAAAATAACATCAATAATCAATAACGCCTGCAATATATTTAATTGGAAAAGATTAAACGAAAAACAAATCATAGCGGTTTGGAATATAGTTATTATACCAAGGATAGAGTATCAGCTGGCAGCCATAGTCCTAAAGAAATGGGAATGTGAGAAATTGATGACAAGAATAAATATGATAATCAAAAAAAGAGCTGGCCTAGCAAGATCAACTCCAAATTTTATAATTTATGATAAAGACATTTTAGGTATAAAACATATTTACGACTTACAGATGGAAATGATATGTAAGAATTTGCTTTATCAGGCGAATGGAAATTACAAATTACAAATTTTATTTAAAAT